AAATTTATGTCTCAAGATAAAAAATGATTTGGAATAGAATCCTTTGTGAAATTTACTTCCGAGAAATTAATTACTTTCAATAGAAATACTTCTCGTACCGTCGAGACGTCCGTAGGACGCGTGGGATTGAGAAATTATGCAGAACTCGTGCAACAGATTGATGCGACGTTTAGCACGCAACGAATTACGACTTAGGCGAGGCGTAGTCAGGTGAAGGGGGCCGGCAGACCTCAAGGGGGAGGATCGTTCTTCCACCGAGTTACACATAATGCCTCATAAACACCCTCAAAACGCCTGGCATCACCCTCGATTCGCGCCGCCACCGCCATCACGAATCTGACACCGCACCGGCAATAAACTTTGGCCTCGTTAGCTTCCACTCTCTATCTCTTTCCGTTCTCACCCCGCCGTGCACCATTTAGAACAGTATTCTCTTTTTTTTTATTCGTCTCCTGTGGCAGGTTGAAACGATTTTTGCGAATTTTGATTTTAGTTAAGTTCCATTCTGAGGTTGAATTATTTTGTTTGCTGAAAATTTGTTTGCTCTATGTAGTTTTTCATGCTTCTGCATTCAGAATTGTTCATTCATCTAAAATAATTCTTGTTTTCAAATAACTGAACTTTATCCTGTCTAAATCTATATTATTATTATTACTAATACGTTGATATATTAATACGGAAAATAAATGAAAAAATCGAGTTAACAAAATTAATGCAGAAAGCAACAATCTCTAGAAGACGCGAAGTGGCGGAACAGTTCCCCGGCGACGTTTTAACGTCCGCGGGGGTTGAATATTTCGCCGGGCGACGGTGGTAAGCCGGTTAAATGTCGTGGTTCACCGTAAAAACCCGGTCGTTTGCCGTCCAAGCCACGCCGGGCGTAAAATAAAACTAGCGACCGCTCGCGTGTGTGCACGCCGACCCCATTATAAGCCGTATAACTCGGCGCTCGTTCCGCGTCTAAGTGCCAACTTTTATTTCACTTCCCATCCACTACCCCGGTTTATATTCCATCTGTTCAATAAACCATACAATCGTTTTCTTCTGAACTCTTGTAAAAGTTGAAACTCGCCAGCGAGAACTCTAAAAGGATGTTGATAATTATTTATAGAAGAACGAGGGAACAAAAAC